GGCTATCAACCTCAGCCTCTTTGTTAATCTTGATTGACATGCACTTAGCGTCAATCTGTGTCTGATTCTGCTGACATAGAAAGTTCAAGTTGATTCAACTTAGTTCAACTCCATTATATGCAAGTAGGAACTCTACCATATAATAAGTCTAAGTTATTCATTATGTTTCAATCAAAAACATCGCCAAGGGACCTCCCTTTTATAGCCAACACAAACCTAGTCCCAATAGAAGCCTAGCATCAATGGACTCTGGATTACTGCAAATCTTGGACTCCCAGTAGGATTGGGATAAACTCTCTAAGAGTCTTATCTTTATCCAAACTGAAATCTTCTCCCAATCTAGGACTCTAGTCCTCTATCCAAATATCTCAGATTTCGGTAGTATTGCACCATATCTCGGCGTCATGGTCCGCCCACGTGGTACCTCGGCTAACAATCTCGGCCACATGGACTACCCAAAAATATGTCTCCACAATTGCCTCTTAGGTTCTATTACCTCGGCAAACTGAGGTGGTGGAACCTATACATGTACTCCTCCGACCGAGATCATGACTTGTCAACGCTAAGAAATAAGGACTCATATGTCCACTCGTCAAGAATCAAGAATCAAGAACCAAGAACCATCATGTTCTATCTCATCCAGGTCCAACATCTCAACAGAGATCACACTACTAGCAAAGATCATGACTTGCTAGTTCAAGAACATCAAGATCCTGATATCATCTCATAAGAAACCAAGAATAAACAAGTTCTGCTCCCATCCAAATTCAACATCTCAACCGAGATCAGCATCTCAACTGAAATCATCATGTCAACCGAGGTCGTCATCTCAACCGAGATCATCACCTCTACCGAGATCATCTCAATTGAGATTGCACTTCTCAATCAAGATCATCATCAGATTAGAGCGTACTAATCACGTCTCCATCGTGTCGCGTCAATTTTACCCCTAGTCGTCTAACATCAGCACGAACACGTCACCTAAGGACTCGAAATCATAACTTTTTGCCATTTTTTTTTATTTTGCCTCTATCTGTGTCCCCATACTCTCTTTTTTTTCCTATGCAAACCATTATCGTTGTTCTTGAAGCATTCATTGCCATGAATAATCGATTTGTGCCCCAGGTTCAAACTCTATTAGCTGAACCAGGCTAGCAGCCAAGCACTTCATCAACTACTCCACGTATCAACCCACAATTTCAATGGCAGTGCAAACACCGACATAGCGACAATCTTGCAGCTAGATCCAGGAACAAGAAACACCGAGGTCCTAAGCTTCCAGCCTTAGACCTTGATAATTTTTTAATCGCCTTATCTGTGAGTAACCATCGTCGTAACCAACGACGACATGTCTCGCCGAACTCTTGTTGTAGAAGACCTTCTTGTTGACATCCCTAATGTCATAACTGTGCAATCCACTCCATCTCCTTATAGTCAATTTGATAGGCTCATGCCTCCAGCAACTCAATATCTCGAAAGAGAAGCACATGAAGCAAGTGGACCAAGTTATTGCTACCAAAGCCGAGGCTATTGCTAAGGCTGAAAAAACAAGTCAATATGGCCTGCAACGAAGGCTACTATCTTGACTAGATGACAGCCCTCAAAAAGATGTTTTTCCCTAAGGACTCTCTCCTCCGTGATATGGGTCAGCTCAATGTCCCTTTCCCTTTCTCTCCCAATCAATCTGAGGATGAGGCCAAGGAAGTAGAAGAGGCCGACGATGAGGAGGCCGGAGACAAGGAAGAGGCCGAGGCTGAGGTTGCCGAGAAAGAATCTGAAACTGCTGTTGGGGCCAAGTCCCCTACTCTGTTGCTGGGGTCAAGTCCTCTACTCTAAATGATCAAGTCCTGGACTTGATTGAGGAGGACGAGGATGAGGCCTCCAAGAGCACCTCACCAAAGAAGGTCGACACTTCTGAAACCGAGATCACTGCCGTTGCAAAAAGCCTAGACCAGACTCTTCTAGAAATCGATGCCGAAATCACGGCCGAGAAGTCTGCCCAGCTATCTGTCGAGACCGAAACAATGCCAACAGCCGAGGTTGAATAGTCTGAGATCAATGCATAAGATCCTAGTACTTAGGAATTTTTCTTTTCATTGTACCTTTTTCTTTGTAATTTTCTTCTCTGTTTTGAACAGTATCTGTTTTGTCAGATTGATGTGCCTGTTTATGTACTTGAACAAGCTGTCTCTTTTCAATGCAAGCCTTCTATTTTCTTCTAAGTGTTGAATATTGCTTTCATCATGTATTCTTACCGCTTTTCTTCTATGTTTTGCATGTTTTCATACTTATTATATTTTGCATATCTTCAACGTACACCTTAACTGTGCAATCTTCTCGGTACGGAGTACTTCGGCTATACCTACTAGTAGTTTTATCTCGGCTTTGACCTAACACTTGAAAATATTTATCATAATATTTTCACAAGTGTTATTTACAACTTGCCACTTCACTCTTTACTTATCAGGACCTTTGTCTTCTATTATTTCAACATAACCTTGGGTTAACTTCAACTTGTAAACTTTTCTTAAAATTTCAACAAGTGTTAAACCAACTTCCTTTAACATAACCTCGACTTAACTTCAACTTGTAAATTTTTCTTAAAATTTCAACAAGTATTAAACCAATCTTCCTTGTAAATTCTAACTCCCAAGCATCATTCTCCAGCCCTCTACCCCCTAACGTGAACTTAAGTTCCACTTAGGTTCTCATTAAGTATGTGGCTTTGACCTTGTCGTCGAGGTCAAATTCAAACAAAGACTGGCCGAGGCTATCAACCTCAGCCTCTTTGTTAATCTTGATTGACATGCACTTAGCGTCAATCTGTGTCTGATTCTGCTGACATAGAAAGTTCAAGTTGATTCAACTTAGTTCAACTTCATTATATGCAAGTAGGAACTCTACCATATAATAAGTCTAAGTTATTCGTTATATTTCAATCAGAAACATCACCAACTTAGTTCAACTCTATTATATGCAAATAAGAACTCTGTCATATAATAAGTTTAAGTTATTCGTCATGTTTCAATCAGAAACATCGCCAACTTAGTTCAACTCTATTATATGCAAGTAGAAACTCTGTCATATAATAAGTCTAAGTTATTCGTCATGTTTCAATCAGAAATATCGCCAACTTAGTTCAACTCTATTATATGCAAGTAGGAACTTTGCCATATAATAAGTCTAAGTTATTTGTCACGTTTCAATCAGAAACATCGCCAACTTAGTTCAATTCTATTATATGCAAGTAGAAACTCTGCCATATAATAAGTCTAAGTTATCCGTCATGCTTTAATCAGAAACATCGCCAACTTAGTTCAACTCTATTATATGCAAGTATAATTCAACTCTGTCATATAATAAGTCTAAGTTATTCGTCATGTTTCGCTTAGAAACATCGCCAACTTAGTTCAACTCTATTATATGCAAGTGTAATTCAACTCTGCCATATAATGAGTCTAAGTTATTCGTCATGTTTCGCTTAGAAACATCGTCAAGTACTGGAATCAGGGATTTGCTCACTTAGGCTGAGCTCTTGTATTCTTGGACTTAATCTTCTAGGCTGAGATCTTGTCTTCTAGGATCTGGGATCCGGGATCTGGAATCCGGAATCTGCTCACTTAGGCTGAGCTCTTGTCTCCTCGGACCCACTCATCTAGGCTGAGATCTTGTTTTCTGGGCACCAATTTTGGTTGCTAGTGCCGGTATGTCTTGTGATAGGGATGTCGGCTGTATCACGTTGTTCTGCATCATGAGGTTGACCACTATTTGTAGATATGTCAACTTATTTGCCATGTCTTTCAGTTTTCTCGTCTTTTCTCCAGCATCTGTCCTTCCATACCTGAAGGTTGCTGTTACGGTAGTACTTATCTCGGCTTGCTTTCTTCGGTGCGTCTCCATTTTGGCCGATGTTATTCTCCCCGGGATTTTGATCTCGTGCTCCTTCATTACGGTTTTCTTCTTCCACGTTTAGATTGGCAAGTTTACTACCCCCACTAGGGATGTCAGCCCCAATCTTTTCTCCATACTCGTTGTTGGCCATCTATTCTCCTTAAGTTTCCACAGATGGCGCCAAATTGTGGGTGTTGATTTTCGACCACACAACCAAAAAGGGGAAACTCGCTGGAGAGCACTAGCAGAATAGATTAAGCTCGAACAACCTGTCACAGAAATATAAGAATCTTGCAATGGTTCGTCCACCCGGGGGCACTCCGATGATCAAGTCAGTAAAATATCTCTCAAAGATAACCAATAGTGCTTAACTCACTAGACAAAGCATAAAAAGCATACCCTAGACCCATGAGGGTACCTTCCTTTTATAGCCAACATAAACCTATTCCCAATTGAAGCCTTGCTTCAATGGACTCTGGATTACTGCTAATCTTGGACTCCCAATAGGATTGGGATAAACTCTTTAGGAGTCTTATCTTTATCCAAACTGAAGTCCTCTCCCAACCTAGGACTCTAGTCCTCTATCCAAATATCTCAGATTCCGGTATTATCGCACCATATCTTGGCATTATGGTCCGCCCACGTGGCACCTCGGCTAACAACCTCAGCTACGTGGACTACCCAAAACTATGCCCTCACACTATATATATTCAGGCCACTGTGTTTATCATATTAATGTGCATGTTAAGTATGCTATAATACATGATGTCAGATTTATTTTATTAGGACAAAAACCAACATAGGCCTCTGTTGATAAATAAAAAATAAAAAATAAATATATGTTTTACCTAGATTTTTGGTTTGGTTTCCGTGTAAAATAGTCTGTTAACCTACTGTTTGTTATATAGATGCATGCTATCGTCTTGGTACCTGAAGCACATGTGATCGGCATTATTTCACCTATGAAATTCTTGATTAGAGTGTTAATTTACTATTATTTGCATGCTGCCATTTAGTGGTTTCTATAGATGTAAATATATGTTTCAATAGTACATACTTATTAAAAGTAAGTATGTACTATTGAAACATATATATACATCTATAGAAATATGACCGTTACTGAGCTTCCAATCGCCGGAGAACAACAGCTGGAAACGGGCTGCTCCACGGAGGAGGCAGATCATCTGATCAGAAGCACTAAGAAGATTAAAAGCACAGTTGATTCAAAGGACGAAACGATGAATGAATTCATCTTAGAGCCTGAAATTTTGGGAGGGGTGTCTCATGCGTGCCATGTGGATGCCCTAGCTACTGACGAGGTTAATCCGAATCAGATCACGGCGACTTGCCCTGAATCTACAGATATTAAGATGAGTACCTTTGGAAATCGCTCCTTCAAACAGGCCCTCTTACGATCTAGGTTTAATGAGAATGGTAATGAAAAAAATTTTGATTGCGATGTGGAAGTATTATCCTCTGATGAGAAGGATGATAACACTGATGCACAAATAAAGGAAATGGGTAAGGATGGTTTTGAAAATCATAGTGCCATTCCCAACATCAGAATTCCTCCGACTCTTCTGAAGAAGATTAGGGAACCCTGGAAAAAGTGCCTGATTGTGCGTCTGCTTGGGAAAACCATAGGGTATAAATTGTTCATGCTGAAAATGTCCAAAATTTGGGGTCTGCAAGCAGATTTTGAAGCTTTGGATATAGGGAACGGATTTTTTATAGTTAAATTTGACATGGTTGAGGATTATACTAAGGTTTATACAGGTGGTCCTTGGATTGTTTTGGATCATTATGTCACCGTAAGGAAATGGCAACAAGATTTTAAGTCTGATGATGCTGAAGAGGATACCACCGCGATCTGGGTTAGATTTCCTAATCTACCCATTGAGTATTATAATGAAAAGGTCTTATTTCATATAGCTAAAGCCTTGGGAGTCCCTTTGAAAGTTGATATCAACATAGCCATGGTAGCTCGCGGGAAGTACGCTCGTGTGTGCGTTGAAATCGATCTTCAAAAACCACTGATTTCTCACTTTACCATTGGTAAGTATACTTATGGAGTTAAATATGAACACCTCCACTCACTTTGCTTCTCTTGTGGCAGGGTAGGGCATCGCCAAGAAAGCTGTAGTGATTGTCAACCAAGAAAGCTGCAGTGATTGTTAACTACCGACGTTAGCAACCCAGCCCCAAGATTGCACCGGCAACACAATAGAGAAGACAATGGACCAAACAGGCAAAAGCCCAAACCCAGACCAAGAAAGGGCAGATTCTGAATTAGGCCGACCCACGTATGGGCCTTGGATGACAGTCACAAACCAAAGAAGAAAAGCCAAAGGGTCGCTGCCTAATAGAGGTAACAAAGCCCAAATGGGCAACAAATTTCATGATCTGAGAGAGAAAGGTGGGCCTGTCAAAGATCCAGGTCAAACTAGTAGAACTAATGAGGAGTTGGGGTTTCACTATAAGACCAACAATAGCCCAATTGTGGGAAATATATCACATAGCCCCCTAGCTACTGTTAAAGCCAACAATGGAAAGGACATTAGACTGGGATCAGAGTTTCAAAACCTACAGACACGCCATCAGAACTCCAACAGTACTACCATGGCTCAGATGTCAAAGTTTATCCCATCTACTCATAGTGGTAATCCCCCACCCACCACCACTGAAGCCACTCTTCTGCAACAAGCCAACCCTCAAGTTCAAGTTCAACCCCATGCAAAGACCAGAAAGCCACCGGACAAGAATGGAGGCCGAAGGAGAGAACTACCCCGTGGAACAACTCACAGTGAGCCAAAACAGAGTGATGGTGTTTCTCACACCAGGGACAGAAGCATTTCACCGCATTGCCTCAGAAGGGTGGATAGAGGAAGTAAAAATCAGGATTCAACCATGGAGGCAGATCGAAATGGGTCAGGAGCATCACATGATATCGGTAGTGGCATTGGAATCCATGGAGGACAACCTAAAGAAAGCAAAGGAACTTCTGGGCTTTGTTGACCAGATGTCACCACCCAAATTTAACAGATCATCCATGACTTTACTAATTTGGACTTGTAGGGGTGCAGGAAACAAAAAGTTCAAAAGAAATTTGCGTGAATTAGTGCAGATCCACAAGCCAGATTTGTTAGTTCTTATGGAAACAAAAGTGGAGTTGGCTGCCATGGGAATGTTTTTCAACCAGATGGGATTTACTACTTCAGCTCATGTTGATCCTGTAGGTCGAAGTGGGGGAATCTGGATGCTTTGGAACCCCAGTCTAGTCAATGTTAGAGTCTCTGAAGCCAGCTCTCAACTCATCACAGCCAGGATTGCTAAGCAGGATTACCCTGAGTGGCTTCTCACGGCAGTGTGTGCAAGTCCTATCAGCAACAAAAGAGAAGATTTATGGGACAGCTTGGAAAACACTGTTCAAACTAATTCTGCACCTTGGATGATAGCTGGAGACTTTAATGATTTTGCTAGCCATTCAGAAAAGAGACAATCTGCAGGGAGCTCAAGTCTTTCTAGCAGCCAAGATCAACGAAGAATAAACAAGTTCTCAGAAAGAATGAACAATTGTCAGTTAATGGACTTGGGTTGCACTGGTCCGAGGCTGACCTGGACAAATAATAGACAAGGTTGGGCTAATACAATGGTTCATTTGGATAGAGCTATGTGCAACAGTGAGTGGAGAACTAGCTTCCCTGAAGGTCTGGTTCGAAACCTCCCACGAACTTACTCTGACCATTCCCCAATAATGATATTCACTCAAGGTATATCTCCTTTTAAACCCTCTTGTAAGCTTTTCAAATTTGAGGCTGCCTGGATCTCTCATGAAGAGTTTCACACAGTGGTGGAGGAAAGTTGGTCTAACAACCAAACTTCCCTTATGACTAAACTTGATACTCTAGCTCACAAGGCTAGTAATTGGAATAAAGATGTGTTTGGTAACATATTTAGGAGGAAAAGATGGTTACTTGGGCGGATTGAAGGAATTCAGAGAACCCAGACAACTTTATATTCCCATAACCTTCATGTGTTAGAACTTGATTTGATTGCTCAATATAATAAAGTCCTCTTTCAAGAGGAACTGCTGTGGTTTCAGAAATCTAGATCGAAATGGATCACCCAAGGTGACAGAAACACAAAATTCTTTCATCTCACCACTATTATAAAAAGGAGGAGAAAGAAAATTGATGTTCTGAAGGGTGCTAATGGTGGTTGGATTGATAATCCTGATGAGCTTAAGAGGCATGTGCTCAATTATTTTACTACTCTGTTTGCTCATAATCCTTCTATTTCTTTGAGTCATTGGAACAACTTGGCTAGTCATGTTGTTAATGTTGAGGAGAATTGTGAGCTCATGAAAGTAGTTACTAATGATGAGATTTGGCAGGCTGTGAAAAATATTAAAGCCTTTAAAGCCCCTAGAAGAGATGGCTTCCAAGCCATCTTTTATCATACCTATTGGAATGTGATTCGCCCTTCTGTGTGTGATTTTATCAAAAACTGTTTTGCTACCCATTCTATTCCCTCAACCATCAACCGTACCCTGGTGTCTCTTATCCCTAAACTGGATAACCCTGTGAATATTAAATAGTTTAGACCCATTAGTCTGTGTAATGTGACCTACAAAATCATTGCAAAAATTTTGGTTAGTAGAATTAGACCTTTGCTCTGTAAGCTTGTATGGCCTAACCAAAGTAGCTTTGTGCCTGGTCGTTCTATTAGTGATAATATTATTATCTCGCAGGAAATTATTCATACCTTAAGTTCTAAGAAAGGGAAAGTTGGTAGAATGATCCTCAAGGTTGACTTGGAAAAGGCCTATGATAATATATCTTGGGAGTTTTTGAAACTGACTCTAGAAGAGTTTGGTTTAGATGACAACCTTAGTGATATGATTATGTGTTCTGTTACTTCTGTCAGCACTGTCATTCTTTGGAATGGTGAACCATTGCAAGAGTTTAAACCTGAAAGGGGGCTAAAACAGGGAGACCCTTTATCTCCCTACTTGTTTGTGTTGTGTATGGAAAGATTATCTAACATGATTACCAAGCAAGCTGAAAACAATAAATGGAAAGGCACTAAGACCTCCCATAGGGGCCCTTGTCTGACACATTTATTTTTTGCTGATGATTTAATGTTATTTAGCAAGGCAGATATAAGAACTTGTAACACAATTATGACCACCATGGCTGAGTTCTGTGAGATTTCTGGATTGAAAGTTAATGCCCAAAAATCCAAAATCTTTGTTTCTGCTAACATTGAAAGGAGAGTGGCCAGAGATTTGAGCCTTATATGTGGCATTCCCCTCACTTCTAAGTTAGGGAAATATCTGGGTGTTCCCCTTTTATATGGGAGAGTCAACAGAGGGCACTTTAACACTATTCTTGAGAAAATGCAACATAAGCTGGCTGGTTGGAAAACCAGTGCTCTGTCCTTGGCTGGCAGAAATACCCTTATTCAAGCTATTAGCTCTGTTATCCCAGCTTATACCATGCAGACTACTGTGTTTCCTATGAAAGTGTGTGATGCTATTGATAGACTTAATCGAAATTTCTTGTGGGGTGATACCCCTAAACGGAAAAAAGTCCACTTAGTGAAGTGGGACACTGTTTGCACTTTGAAAAAACATAGTGGACTTGGTTTAAAGAAGGCTAGAGACCAAAATCTGGCTTTACTTTCTAAACTTGGCTGGAAACTTTTAAATAATGAGGAAGGTTTGTGGCTTGATGTGTTGAGAAGAAAATATTTGAATAGAACTACCTTCTATAATTGGCCTAAGAAGAAACTTGCTTTCTATGTGTGGAGAGGCATTCTCTAAACTAGACATATTCTCAGAAAATGGGTGAAATGGAAAGTTGGAAGTGGTGAATTGGTAGATATATGAAAGGATTGGTGGTGTGGTGATAAATCCTTTGAGGAGTTAATGACTATTGACCACCAATCCAACCATATACCTGCTGGTGGTTTTGGTACTGTTAACGCTTTCTTGAATGAGCATGGAGGTTAGAATGTGGATTTTGTGTCCACTCTAATGCCTTCTTGCATTGTTGTTATCATTTTGGCTGCACCTCCTCCTTCTTCTACTATCACAGATAGTTTCAACTGGAATAGCACCCTTAGTGGAGGTTTTTCTACTGCCTCTGCCTATGATGTTATCATGGGCCATCATAGTTATGTAGATAACTGGAGCTGGATTTGGAAAGTAAGGCTACCTCAAAAACTTAAAGGTTTTATGTGGCTTCTTTTTCATGGAAAACTGCTAACTAACCTTATGAGATTGAGTAGGGGCTTAACATCTGCCCATGCATGCCCTAGCTACTGTGGGGTGGAAGACATGGATTACTTATTCAGACATTGCTTCAAAGCCAAAGAAGTGTGGTTGGCCTTATGTGGCCGAACCTGGTGCAGAAACATGTTTAGCTTATCTTGGAAGGATTGGCTTTTGTCTAATTCCAAGAATAAAAAGCCTTTTAATGAGCAGGCTACTTGGTCTTCTGTCTTCATTATCACTTTATGGAAAATTTGGAAAAATAGAAATGTTTTTGTTTTTGAAAAAAAGTTGTGTAATGGCATGGATAGTGTTAAATTCATTCTTGACTACTCAAGAGATATTGATTTGGCTTTCAATTTGTCCATTATTAATCCCAGGCCTGCTTTTAGATTGATACAGTGGATGTTACCTCCTGCAGGTAAAATAAAACTAAATGTTGATGGCAATAGGAAGCTGGGAGGTGGAGGCGATTTTGGCGGAGTTTTCAGAGATGTACGCGGCGCTTGGGTGTGTGGCTACTATGGAAGGCTGGACAGTGGAACAAGCTTGGAGGCGGAACTGTGGGCTCTCCACAAAGGACTGACAGTGATGCTCTAGAAAGGTATGCACGAGGTGATCATTGAGACTGATGCTAAACAAGTTGTGCAGCTGATGGAGGATGCCATAGATGATAAATTCCCTTTTAAGGCACTATTGGAGGATGCAAAAATAATTTTCAGAGGATGTGAATGCACCATCCACTACATCTATAAAGAGGGGAACTTGTGTGCGGATGCGTTGGCCAAATTTGGAGCGGAGCAACCTGAAGATGTCTTAGTGGTTAATGATCCACCACAGGAAATTCAATGTTATCTTGTTGCTGATATGATCGGCCTCTCTAGGGAGAGGTCCTAG